TCATTACACAGCTTCCAGCTGCAGATGTATTGTCTCCCCCCCTTTGCCATTACAAAATGATTAGTTGTCTCCATTCTCCTTTTCAAATGTTATTAAAGCTGTAGTGCAGCATGATTAAGTTCCCGATAACAAGTAAAACTGTACTTAATGATCGAGTCACTACCATGGACCCATTCTCTAAGAAATATATAATTTCTGGACACATAATAGCTCGACATTATTAATTTTATTCACAACTTAAGGTACCTTAACTAAGTTGTGTCAATGAGACGAGTGCATTAAAACAAGTGAGACTCAGTTTCCAGAGCTTGATTCACACTGGACTGAAGATTAACATGCAAAAGACCAGATCACATTAAGCCCCTTTGCACCTTTCAGGTCTGAAAGCTTTTCTGCAAAGCTTTTCTTTTCTTCTGTTTAGAGATGAAATTTTTGAAGCCACATGTCTACATCAACAAGCTTCCTAGAGGGGAAGATGTTTAAACAGGTACCCTCGGCAGAGGGTAGGTCCAGGTTGTGTGCATGTTTCTGGCTAAACAGTGCTGGGAATCCACCATCAAAATCTGGAAGTTCCAGAAGCTAATACACTTCAAAAGAGCCTGAAAGAACCTCAAGCTTTAGAATTATATACAAGGTGAATTCTGCACCATTCTTAGTTTAGGGAAGCATTTTGAAAAGGCAGGGGGAAATAACCGATGGATGGACTTCAGAGAAAGTGGAATAAAGGCTCCTGGGTTTTCTTTGCTGTATGATTCCCCCAGCGTTCTCCAGCATTAGAGTTGCTGCTACTTTGCCATTAATTACAACAACTGCTCACAGGTTTTATAACCATTAGCGTGGAGTAGAGCAGCATCCACTGGATGCCTTTGCTTGCTTCAGTAACCAACAGGGATCGCAGAGTTTAGGCACACACTGTGATCACTTTTGGCTTATTTCACCTTTATCTGGTGGAGCCCAGCATGCATGACCAAGAGTTGGCAAGGAAGGAAGCAAGAAAAAATATAATGTACTTGAGCACATTCAGCTGATCAACCCATGGAGGACCCAGCCTCACCCTCCACATTCCCAGGAGAAGAAGAAAAACCCCATTTCCCACTACAGAAATAAAAATAAGGAGGAGAGACACTAACGATCCTCAGGACTGTGCTCCCTAGCTTAACTTCTGCTTGGAATTAAAGCTACTCACTGTCCCCAAACACATGACACTTCCTTTTCATTCTACAGTTCTGAACATTTTGAGCTATCGATACATTTGGTTCCTTTGACAGCTTCACACTGGAAGAAATACACCATTTCTTTAAAATGAATACGCAAAACTTCAGACTAAAGAAATGCTTTGATCCCAACACCAGCAGGCAGGAGCTGCATTTCACTCAACTGACACAGTAACAATGCACTGGCATTTTTGCTTTATGGCAAAACAGGCAGCAGTGAAAACCCAACGGTACCAGGAGGCACAAAGGAACAGCACGTCCCCACAGACATGGCCTTCAACACTCAATTCCAAGGCAGGGGCCACAGCTGGGTGACACAAGTGCATCGCTGCGACCCACAACCGCCCCTCAGTGTAACGCCGGGCGCGAGATGCGACCACAGCAGATGCTTTGCTGTCACAGCCCTCTCATCACCAGCAGCCCTGAAGCAGGGATTGGATTTGCATTCCATTTTCTTCCCTTTGGGCCCCCAACACACAACATCCACGAGCCCCTTCCACCAAGGCTAGCAAGCTGCATTAAAAAGGCCTGAGACTGAGCAGCATGCTTATGGTATTTTCACAAAAAGCTGTTGCACACTTTTCAAAGATAAAGGCCCTTACATAAAGATCAAACCATTCTCAGAATTCAGCTTAATTCTTCCATGCTTTCGATGCTTGAGTTTTGCTGCACGAATAAATCTTGTGCAAAGGGTGTTGAGCAGCTGCAAAAACTGTTGCAAGTACCCACTGAAATCACTGCTAACGATACACTTCATACTTCTTTAAAATTATCTATAAGCTGGTTTAATTAAATATGGAACAACTGCAGGAAACTGCTTATGACTAATGAAAGCTCCAGATGTAGCTGGCCAGGGGATCTAGCACAGTAAGTGTTTTCAGTTGCAAAATAGCTCCATTCAAAATTGCCTCTTCCTGCCAAGTTGGCAATTCCCATTCAATTACGCACAGGTACGGGGCAGCCCTTTTACTATGGTACAATGTTATTTCATTTACCAAATGATATTGCTTATTACATATATCTGACAGCATTTAATAAAATGCTAAAAAACCTTTAAGCACCTGGTTCAAAGGATTATGTTTCTTTTCCCATAGACACAAATTACCAAATCCTCACACTACTTACGTCCAACTCAGTAAAGTAAAATAGGTACCCCCCCCTTTCAGTCTTGCACATAGAGCAGAGACAAATTAAAACCACAGTAAATAAAAACATGGTAACCTCATACAGCAACATTCAGACACAGGTTTGAGAAGCACTACCTTCAGCAAAGTGCCCAAAATTTGGTTTGCATAATTATTTAGTATAAACGCTCTTATAAAGGTAATTGGTGGGGCAAGTGAAAAAAACATGATCAAGTACTACATCACAGACAAACAGTTAGCAGCCTTTCAAAAATATACTCCTCAAAATATATTAAAACACACCATTCCCTTCACAGACCAAAGACACATTAAAATCAATACTTTTTTTTGGTGAAGGGCCCCTAAGATGCGCTTAACCGAAAGATATTATGGCACTACTGTATTCACACCAGCCAGCTTATCCAACTGTTGCAAAGCAATTTGACATACACAAACTATAGGCAACTTGGGTTGAGAAGGATAATAAATTTGCTTGGGTATTACATAAATTGCATTGTAATGGGGAAACAAAGCAAGAGGCAAAAAAGACAATTTTCTTTCACATCAATTATGTACTGTGCAATTCCATTGATCAGAGATTTTCCTCATGAACTGAGTCTGAAATCAAGACTGGGCCTGCCTCAGAGACAGACAACATAGCCAGGGTTAGATAAATCAACATCTGCATGTCAGGAGTGCCTGGGAACTTCACCTACCAATGTAAGCCAGCTGCCAGGTTTTTAAGGCAGAAATCTACACAAACCCAATCTCCCTATCACTTTTCCACCATTTTAATCAATAGATGGATACTAAAGTGTGAGGTTTTGTATTCTGACAAAGTAATTTTAAGGATGACGGCCACTTTCCAGGGTGCAGGTTAAGCAAAGCCACAAGTACCATAAAGTAAACTTGAAGAAGCACTGCCAAATCACCTCTTGACAAAGCACTTTGTCAATTATGCTGCCACTTCTCTTGAGCCTTGTTGCTTCCCAAAGTCAGACACAGCAGCACAGCCCAGGGAGATCCATACCAGTCATTTAGATAAGAAGGGGAAAATAGGTGCAACTCAGCATGTGTTTTAAAACATGTTTTCTATTCAGAACCCCAGTGCTCCATCTTTAGGTCTTTGATCAAAACTGTATGCACAAAGGCATGATTCAGAAGTGCCAGCATCAAAATAATCATATTCTACGTCTGCGTGTCAGCAGCACGGAAACAATTAGCTCTCGGCCCTGAACTCGGCGCTTGTTCCAGAGCGCTGGGCGCAAACTGGACACCGTGCCAGGACGTTTGTAGGACAACTGCTAACAGCACACATTCCAACGCTGCCCCGGAGCCCACAGAAGAAGATAATTTCCTAGAAAGCCTGGGGAGCTGGGAAGCAGGGCTGGAGCCCCAGGTGCAGCCTGCCACCTCCCGGCCCCCTGTCTGCCCAGGTACCAGCATCCACCAACCTCGACAACTCACGGTGGAGAGATGAGAAAAGGAAAAAGCTGGAGAAGACTGAAAGATGAAAGAATAAAAGACCAGATGGACAGGAAAAGAGGCAGAGGGCAGGGTGCTGGAGGAAAAATAGTGGAGCCTAAACAGCTACATTTATGAGGACGACAACTACCCAGATTATGTGTAGAGATAAAAACTGAATTCAATAAACAAGAATTTTAATTTTCAGCTCTAGAAAGCACAGCGGGATTTGCACACAGTGGATGGGTATGTACCACCTTTCATAAAAGTTGTCCCAAATGTTACTGACAGAGTACTTGTGTGTTCAGGGCACAATTCTCTCCAGCCTTTCTGTGGCCAAAACACCCACAGTCATTTACAAGGGTAAATCATCTCCCCAAGCTCTTGCTTTCAAGATGTAAACAGAAATACAGAAACAGACAAAAATAAGCATGCATACTTTGAGAGGCAGGACTTATTTAATATAAGCCTACTGCTGAAAGAATTAAATGAAAACCAAAGGAAGCTTCTCTAGAGCTGAAGAATCCTAGTACTGGTGGTACATATCTAAGGTTTGCATTAACTGACCAATAACGCTGTTAATTTGCTTTTTGAAGTGCCTACTAGAAAATTCAAAAATGCAACTGGCAATAGAGCCAGATTTGCAATCCCTTGCGGTTTCAGGCCCGAGTCATTTGAATGAAAACCGGGGAGTTTGCAAAAGAAAGAGGAAAGAGACAGAGTCCCCATCCTGTGTGTATAGTTTCAGTATCCCTGAGTTGTCAGCGGTTGATAAAATGATTGCATTACATTTCACCACCCGTTACCTATCGGGCCTGTTAGAGCCGTGCAATAAAGAATAGCGCCTGTGCGGTTTTCTGGGTGGAAAAAACAAAAGTAGCAGTAAAACAAATCCCTAGGAAGATGCGAGACAGGCGGCTCTCCCGCGAAGTTCGGGGATGCCGGGATGCCCGCGGCGGGCAGCGCCGGGGACGGGACGAGAGGAGAGATCCCTCTCCCGGGGACGGGAGAGGATCCCACGGATGCATTTTCTGGCTCTGCATCCCGGACCCCGCACCGCGGCACCTGTGGGAGGCGCCCGCGCGGGGCGAGGGGACCACCAGCCCCGGGGCGACCGCGCCTCGCCCGCCCCGCGCCCCCCGCACCCCCGGCACGGGTGCAGCGAGACACACACGGGCGCTCCCGCTCCCCCGCCTACCATCGCCTTGCCGTGCGGGGCGGCGGGTCCGCGGCGCTGCGGCTGCCCCCGCTGGTCTCCGCCGCGGTCTCGCTTCTCGCGGCCGCCGCGCTGCTCCTCGCCGGCGTCGAGGGAGGTGAAATTCCAGACGAGGAGGGTCTGCAGGAGCAGCACGGTGAGCGCCGCCACCAGCGCCGAGCGGGAGCGCCGCGCCAGCCGCCGGGCGCACGGAGCTGCCACCATCTTCGCTGCTGCTGCTGCTGCCGCCGCTGCTGCTGCTGCCGCGCTCCCGAGAGCCGCCGCATCCGCCGCGGCACCGAGTTTTCAGCCGGGCAGAGCCAGACGTCAGCAGGAGGAGGGCGGAGGGGGGAAGGAGGGAGGGAGGGAGAAGGAGGAGGTGTGCGCGGCGCGTGGGGATGGGGGAAGCCGGCGGGGAGCCCTGGCGGCGCGGCAGCCCGCGGGCCGGGGCAGCCCGGGGCCAGGGGTGGGGTTGGCGGAGGAAGAGGAAGGAGGAGGAGGGGAGTGGGCTGGAGGCGGAGCGGCAGCGGGGGCTGCTGCCGCCGGCGGGCGGGCTGGAGAGCCCCGGCCCTGCGCGAGGGGAAGGGGCCGGGGCGGGGCCGCTCCGCGGCTCACGGCGGGCGGGAAGACGGGAGAGGAGAGGAGAGGAGCGGGGAGGGGGCGGCCGGCGCCGGGGCGGGCGGCGACTGCCATCTTCTGAGGAAACGCGGCCTGGCGGCGGGCAGGAGCGGGGCGGCGGCACCTGGCGGGCTGTGGAGCCGCGGCCGCTCCTCGCCTCGCCTCGCCCGGGCGCCGCCTTTGCCCCTCACCTGGCCAGTGGCAGCCCCCGGGTGCGAGCACCGGCACGGACGGCTGCGGACCGTGTCAGGGGCAAAAATGGTCCAGATTCCCCAAGACTGAGATTTTTTTTTTTAATGTTTTTTTCTTTAAGCTAAAAGGTCACTGGCAGGGTTTGGCCTCCGGGGAGCGAGGGGGAGAGCAAGGTACGTCACCTGCACAGCACGGTGAGGTTTGCAGGTACCAGGCTTAGGCACAAGGTGACTGTAATTAAATGCCCAATGTTCTCAAAAAGTGAACATAATGGACGACTTCAGTTGCCTTTTTCTCCCGTACTGCTATTGGCTTTCTAATCTGAAAGATCTCATTATCTGATGATAGTACTGAAGTAGGCATTTTTTTTTAATCTGCCTGCACAGTGCCTCTTTTTGTAAACCTAATTCCACTTAACAAACCAAATCCAAAGGAAAAAAAATACTATCTCCTGATAAGAACAGTTACTTTTTTAAATGACAGCCAGGTAGGATTTGCAGAGACCAGCAGGATTTTGCTTGCACTGAAAGTGCTTTAGTTTCTGATCTGAAGAAAATGAAACAAGTAGTAAGATTCAGAAGCATCTCTTAGTAAGGGAATTTGCCTCATGATCCAGTGAAGCTACAAATAAAATTTCAGAGGGGTTATCCTTTGTTGCACTGTTTCAGAAGCAGATGAAGTACGTGGCAGATTAGTGGTAAGAAGCATTGTACTTCACAGAGGTGCACATGATTGGAAATACAGACTTGCTAATATTGCAAGTTTTGATACTAATCTCATTATTTGATGGAAGAATCAGGTTTAGAAATAAATAATGTGTTGTTCCTAATGCACAGATATTGAGGCTCTAAAAAAACCTGTGTCCTCGAGAAAACAAGGTGGTTCCATACACAGCACTTCCTGGGCTCTTTTGGTCCCGTCCTGATTTCTGATGCTGTTGAATACTCATGTCACTCACTGGTGCAAAACCATCAGCTCATTGCAGTTGCCCCTCATGGATAGAGCAATGAATCCTGTATCAGGCCCAAGCACAAACATGCAGTTTCAAACAGGGCCACACTCCCAAGTGTCACTGACAGCAAGGTGTCTCTAAGCAGTGAGGTCAAAATACATCATTAGTAACTTCCAGGAAAGTCAGGAGGGAAAGGCTCCTCTCTGTGTGATGGCAGAGCATTGGCTGACCTTCCATTCATGTAATGGAACAGTGTCCATCTTTGCCAGCTGCGGTGATGGCAAACTGTTCTTAGTGGGCAGAGAGCCCATGATAGCAAATTTGGACAGTGCCAGGCTTCCCCAGCGGTTGCATGTGCATCAGATTTGCTGGTCACACAGTCCAGCAAAGTGAGCTGTTACAACAAAAAAACCCAAAGGATTCGAAGGATTCAGAATCTTCCTGAATGTTCTGACAGAGTCTGCATAGCTCGGGAAGTTGATGGATAATTTTTATCCCCAAACATCAAATAATTGGGCATTATAAATATAATCAAGCAAATCTTCTGATAAATATAAGATAGAAGTGTCTTCCACTTGGGATTAAATGTTTTTCTCTTCAAAAGGAAGTTGTGGTCTTAGCACGTGGTTGCCCCATGCAGCCTTCCCTCAGGCTTGTAGAGGGCAGGAGGTGCTCATGGTGCCAATAAAAAAAAGTCTTTGAACAGGCCAAATGTCTGAGATCTCTGAAGAGCCCCCGGCTTCAGGGCTGATTCTGATCCTGCAAACCTCATTGGGAAATGGAAGGCATGTTCCAACGGATACCCTACAATGGCTGAAAGTCCTGAAATCAACATCCAAACCAGGCAATGCTTTAGCACAGGGAATCACTGCTTTCTATAAAAGGAGCACAGCAGTAGTTATGATGAACTTGTGATCCATGCTTCTTAAAATTTTTATGAGCTATTGGTAAATTTCCTCCAGATTTTATGGGGCAACTTTTATGCTGGAAAATGTATGCATTTTCCTAATCTCTATATAATTACTGAGACTGATAAGGCAGGGAGGAACAGCAGTGTGTGCTCAGTCTTATATATGTCCTACTGAAAGCCCATCTGGAGAGAAGATTTGTATCCAAACCACAATAATTTATAGGCCATAAAGTTCTGAGTCTTCGGTGCAAAGTCAGCCCTGCGTATGGGCGGGAGCCCCAGCATGAGACTCTCCTGCACTGATAGAAAAAGTGGAGCGGGGAGAGGAGCAGGCACCTCCTCCCTCAACATCCTCCTTTCCCTGTATATAGAGAGATCATGTAAAATCTGGAAAGGAGAATGCTGTAGGTATAGCAACCACTTTTAAAACCATGCTCTGACCAATGACCACTAACTGTTCAAAACATCCTCCTTCTGTGCTAAAGAAAACAGCCAAATAGAAGGAGCGTAATTTCACTAATTAATTCTTTTTCTGTGCTGATCCAAAGTAAAAAGTAAAAAGGGCAAGGCTGATTATCTTGAGAACCTGAAGATTAAAAAAAAAAATCACAGAAAGTAAAACATTGAACTGTACAAATCCAAAGAACAAACCAAAATGAGAAATTACATAAAACTTAAAACTTTAAAATGGAATTCTCTTATTATCACATTCATGAATAGTGGCATCTCAAGAGAGCTGTGTTGCATTAGAAAATATTTAATCTGGTTACACAGAAGATGTTTAAGAGTTATCACTGAAAATTCCCAATGTTGCCCATGTTAGGTGAGATGATTAGTGTCTAGCACAAAGTAAGATGAGAAGACCAAGATTTGATTCTAAATATACAAGTATTATGTTTATTGCTCTTAACCGTCAAAGAGATGGTATTTTAAGCGAGGATAACAAATGTGACTTGGCTAATTTGCTTTAGAATCCTAGCAGATAATTGGTTTAAATATTTTTTACCACTGCACAGGTAAGTAAATTCAGTGTGGGTGTGTTTGAGAGACAGTGGGTATCAATCTTGGCTACTTAAAATGATGTTAAAAAAGAACAATATTCTGTTCCATTTTAGTCTGATCTACTTTGCTAGATTTTCCTATCCTGTTATAAAAATTGTTTCCTCCTCCTTACAGTGTAGATATGGTCTAAAATTGTATCAAGTAACCAGACTTCTTACAAAGAAATAAGTTGAGAGCAATGTTAATAAGCAATATCCTTTGCTCTGCTTTGCAGAGCTTCTGGTCCATCTGGTGAGCAAACACAACAGGCTTATCTGAACTCCAACTCACAGGCTGACTCATAGGTGGTTTAGAAACACAATCTGTAATCAGTGAAAGACTAAGTTATTTCAGAGTGAGGATTTGCATTTTTCTTAAAAACGGTCATATCCCTATCACATCAGAATTTAGACTTCAGATATATGTTATCAGGGTGAAGGGGGAAAAGGTGTCTCTATGAATGAACTGATTTGTCTAAGATTGGTTATCTCTAATATACTCAAAAGAAAACCTGTGAAGAATGCAGAACAAATAGCAAATTTGTGTATATTCCTATGATTTCAAAAAAAAATCCTAGCACCTAAGTAGTGCACCTTAGGAACAAAAAAGGTTGAAAATAGGCCACAAACAGTGTTCAGTGAGTAATCTACAGCAGCAGTAGCAATATCTTCTAAGGTTTGGGCTTCTTCCCTGAAGTGACAAGTTCTTTTTGTTCTTTTTTTTTTCTTTTTCTTCTATCACCAGTGAGCCAGAACAACACACCACTGCTAATCATTTCAGTGAAGCGTTGTGCCTACGGAGGACATATCCCTTTTCTCTGGGAGGCTGGCAGACTTACGGGTCTGTGCATCAAATCTGAACGAGCCAAACGGGACAGGGAATTACTCCTTGAGAATTTCACCATCTCAGACTATAGGTCACTGCTCTGCAACAAGTTCCCAACTCATTGCTTTTTGTTTTAAAATGCTGGTGTGTTGCTGTACTTTAAAGGTACAGGAAGTATATCTTGATTTTTCTGGAACCACAGAACTATCATTAACTTTGTGTTCTCCAATTCAGTCATTTTATGGTTTACATATATTTTCTTTACCACTCAGTTGTGCTGTACCACAGACATTCACTCTTCCATCATTTCTTTTCATAAACAAAACAAGATTCTTTGCCGTGTACTCATTTTAAATCAGGCTACTCTCCAAGTGAGTTACAAAATTTAGGTTCTCTCTTACGTGCATGGGCAGAACTAAAGTCAATGGTCAATGAATATGCAAAAGCCAAATTTTTGACACCAGGGTTTCATTCTGGTTACAGTATCTATAAACTAGCAACTGACTATACTGTGTCAGTATAGTCAAAGACAATAAAAGCAGGTTCACCATTCAACTGATATAAAATACATAGTATGTGTGTGGAATATATGTTACGTCTTGCTTCTGAGAGATAAATTTAGTCCAGGACCTCGGCATATGCTCCACTTCAGGAAGTGAAGGAAAATGGAAGAATTATTCCCTCCACCATCACATTAAAGCATCCCTTTT